GCCCTAAACCCTCAACCCTACAAAGCCTGAACCCCAAAGGCTGACCCCCCAAACCCTAAACTAAATCCCAACCTTGATGGTACAACGTATAGACCTTGCCACCTCTGGCCCTCCACAAATAGGTAAACAAACAAATGAGCCATAATCTAAACTCCTTAAAAGGGGTTATGTCGGAGATTATATATGCGAGTGTACAGGGGTTTTTAAGGAGGATACTAGGAGTTTAAACTATAGCTCAAATGGTCATAATTCTATACATTTTTTTGGTGTTCAGGTAACTGCCATGTACAGCTTAAAGCCTAGGACCTGGAAACGATTACTAAGCCCTGAACCCCTAAACCCCTAAACCCAAAACCCCTAAACTAGTATGAGCACCCCAGTGGATTTGACTTTTGTATACCGGGCTTTCAGGGTAAACCCGCATGCAGGATGCCACGAAGGTGAAGGTCATCTGGGAAGACAGCTCGATATCCGAGCACGAATCGCATCAGGCCTCGGTTGCGGCTTTTTGTGTTTAGGAGTTTTATGGGTTTGGGAGGGTTTAGGGTTTATAAAGGACCTAAATCATAAGGTTTTAGGGTCCCAGATAATTTAATATCAACGGTATCTGGGCCCGGAAGCCCTATTATTTGGGTTCTTGGACCCTTTTGGTTGAGGCTTTTTGTGTTTAGGGGGTTTACGGGTTTGGGAGGGTGTAGGGTTTAGGGTGTTGGGGGAGTTCCGGGTTAGGGTTTATGAGTTGTAGGGGATGTTTAGGCAGTTCCCATGGGGGCCGGAGGCCAGTACAGAGCATCTAACAAACAACCCTAAACCCTAAACCCTTTGGCTTCCCGCATAATTCCGCGCCAGCTTCAGGTGCATTGGCGGTTTCAGTTGCCAAAAGGGTTTAGGGTTGGGTACTGCCCCCACCCAGTAACAGTCTATATTAGGGATTAAGGGCTATATCTAACCATATTATCATTATTATCCAGCTGTTACTGAGGGGGGGCAGTACGTACCCAACTTTAGGGTGTTAAGTTTCAGGTTTTGTCGTTCGAGTCAGCCGGGCTTCTTATTCAGGGTTGGGGAACCATGATTCAGAGCTCTGTTCCTTGCATGTCCGATGGGATGTATACTGAGCAAGACCACGTGGACTTGCACTAGGCTCATCTACGGGCTTGGGCAGATGCTTGAGGGTTTGAGTGTTTAAGGCTTGTTTGGGTGAGGGAAGCTTACGGATTTCTAGGAGTCATCTCGTGCTCTATATTCTGTACCTTGTGCTGTGCTGGCATGACGAATTATGATGTACATTGAGGAAGCCCGAGAAAATGATTGATATAGATGACTCCACCAGATGATCTAGTCTACTTAGTGTACCTCCCAAGGACTTCGATATGGACAAGGGGCTCCAATGTTAATAGACTGACATGACAGACATAAATTAAAGTCCTACGTAGACCTTAAAACTGTCAGAGATCAGATCTGATACCTGAACCCTAAATCTTAAACCCTAAGCCCTAACCGCATGTCAACCCTCAGGGTCTGGGCATTTTCCGCGACCTTAAAAACCTTTGCCGTAACTAGGATTTCCCTAAGACAGTAGCGCCTTACTACCAAAACAAACTGTGACCGCTACTACTGCTGTTGCTCTTTCTCCTCTTGCTGCTGCTGCTGCTGCTGCTGCTGCTGCCGCCGCCACCGCTCTTCACTGCTCCCGCACCTGCACCTGCTACCACTGCTACAACTACTGCTACAAACTATGGCAACAGCGTCCGCATGTCGCCAACCAGCACAAACATCACCAGCACCACCATCACCCCTCCCCCCCTCCACCACCATCGCCGCCGCCCTCGGCCGTCATCCTCGACCGCCGGCGGTCGGCGCCGCCACCAACCACCGCTGCCAGCAGCAGCAGCAGCAGCAGCAGCAGCAGCAGCAGCAGTGGCAGCAGCAGCAGCAGCAGCAGCAGCAGCAGCAGCAGCAGCACCCGCAGCAACAGCCGCAGCGGCAGCGTGGCGGCGGTAGCGGCAGCAACAGCAGCAGCAGCACCACCACCACCACCATCGCCGCCGCCACGCCGCCACCAACATCACCACTGCCGCCCCCCACCACCACCGCCGCCGCAGCCGCCCCCGCCGCCCCCGCCACCACCGCCACCACCCCCACCACCACCACCACCACCACCACCACCACCACCACCACCACCACCACCGCGGCCGCCGCCTTTACAGCAACTACTCGACTCCTAGCGGTCATGCTGTTAACTTTTGAGTACTCCGGATGCATACATGCCAGGTCAGGTTCGTGCCGGTGGATGACGTACTCATTATATATGCAGCAGAGGCCGTGAGGCGCATCGCATTGGATGGGGAAAGCTGGGCTTGATGACGGTATTCCAGTGTTCTGGATCAACTTAGGCTCCATAGGACAATCCAGTGTTAGGCGTTTTGGGGCTAAAGTGGAAGTGAAGGGCGAGTGCAGAGCTGAGGGCCCGACCCTCAACATGGTCAGAGGTCCGGCCCCAAAGGGCTTAATTGGCCACATGGACTCAAGCGAATCGCCACACACTGTACCGAATCAGTTCATGAAAGTTCTCAAATTCCTGAAGCATAGCGAGACCAGCTCTTGCCAGGATTTGTGATAGCACCCCGCAGCGCGCTAAGTTCGATAAACAAACAGCTAGAAAGATTTGCTTGATTCCTGCATCACCTGTGAAATTCCTGGCATCCTCCACGTATGCTGGTTCACGGCTCTGAGAACAGAGCTTTTATGAATGAAAAATCTTGCACTGCTTCCAGGAAGTCTGGTATTCTGTGGGATCCGAAGCGGTGCAAGATATTGCCGTGCCCCATCTTGCAAATGGAGTCGCAAGTTGCAGCATAGTACATAATGAAGCCGAGCCCCTGCATACATCCAACATAAAAAGCCGCTACCCGAAGGTGAGCCTCCAAACCCTATAGAACCTCGGATAGAAAAGGGCTCCCCAAAAACAAAATTCGAAACAAGAAGAAACAAGTTCCATATATACACGAAACGCATAAACCCGCGCGCCCCCACAACACGCAGATCTGTCAGGCGAGAGCGCGCTGCTCTCCATTTCCTTGCAAAGACGGCCGCGACTGCAAGCCTGGGTCTTACCTTACAAGCTTGGGGATTAGGGGGTATGTAAGCGGGTTATGTAATGTGGGGTTTAGAGTCTGAGGTACTCTACACCGGGTTTGTATGGGGATATATAAGGTTAAGGGATTAGGGCATAATAGTTAGAGGGATGCGAATGCCTCGCTGGTGCTTAAGACGGAGTTGGGGATGGGACATGAATATTGAAGCTATAGGGTTTAGAGCTCAGAGTTTACGGTTCAGGGTCTATCTCCGAGCGATGCCCTATACTCTGAACCGTGTGAGGGAAAGGGGAAGTGAGTGAAGGTACTACAGTAGGGATGTTTAGGGGGACGCGTTTGATTTGCTTATGGTGTAGGAATTGTCAAACTCATCCATTCCCCGGCCCCACCCTCTGTGCGCCAGTAAGGTAGCCCCCCTTGCGCCAACCAACCCTAAATCCTAAACCCTCTAGAAGTTAAGGGTCCAAGTACTGAATATTCATATGCTCCCCCAAAACCCGTACTACAATTACTATTACCCAAAACCCAAGTACCCAATTATTGGGTACATGGACTCTTAGGGGAAGGGCTTTGGGTAAGTTGTGTGTAGGGCTTCGGGTTCGGGGCTTGATCAGGTTAGGGGCTCTTTGGGTGAACTCTATTTTGGGCTTGGGGTTTAGGGTTT